GTATATTTTGGTGGTGGAGGTCTTGCAGGGTTCAGGCTCACCCTAAACCCCTAAACCCCAAACCCCTAAACCCCAAACACCTAAACCCTAAAAGGCCCTAAACCCCTACAACCCCTAAACCCCTAACGCCAGAACAAGTACTGGAGTGACCGCAGCTTGTGATAAGGTTTAGGGTTTGTAGGGTTTAGGGTTCAGGGTCAGATTTCGGGGTTTCGGGTCCAGGGTCGGGGTTTAGGGTTTGGGGTTGATAGGGCTTATAGGGTTTATAGGGTTTATAGGGTTTAGGGTTTAGGGTTTATAGGGTTTAGGGTTTAGGGTCAGATTTTAGGGTGTAGGGTTTAGGGTTCAGGGTCAGGGTTCAGGGTTTAGGGTTCAGCTGCTCCGGATCCAGCAGTCTCTAGTCGAGCCTTCTATTTTCGGTGTTCGAAGAACCCCCACCCACCCAAAGAATCCCAAAACAGTAAGACAATAGAAAAATATTGCTTTATATACACAACTCTCAACCGAACTAATGGAACCCTAAGCCCTAAACCCCGAATGGAATTTTAAACGAAACCCTAAACGAACCCTTAACGGAACCCGAAGCGGAACCCTGAACGAAACCCCAAACAGATCCTGAAACGAACTCTAAGCAGAACCCTCTCGAGTGGTGCTGAGATTTGGCTTCAACTTCATGAATAATAAACCCTTTAGTTATATAAAGACTATTCGAAGGTAGTTGCTGACTGCAAAGCTGATTCAACTTTCGGGCCTTGCCCGCGAATGTTCGGGCCTTGCCCGTGAATTTCATTAAGCTTTAACTAAATAAGAAGAAATGCATACATGTTAAATTAAGTGTGTATAAATATATATATATATACACATGAAAAAGAGGTTTAGGGTTAGTGTTTAGGGTTTTTCGGTATAATTCACAGCAACCGACTGTAGCCCATGGTGGCCGTAGTGACAGAAGCAGCAAGAAAACCAGCGAAGAGAAGAAGAGCAACCGGAAGTGGGAGGGCCTCTAGCATGCAATTTAGTTCAAGATAAGGCGTAGAGCTTGTGGATTTACGACTGATGATTTGGGACTTCTGGGTTCAGGCATATCTTATTCGCGTAAGGGGTACAGGGTGAAACATAGGCCCTGTAAACGCTAGGGTTCCCATACCGAGCCTGGGCTCCAAACCCGAAACTCCCTACTACACCCTAAACCCCTAAACCCCTAAACCCTAAACCCCTAAACCTCTAAACCTCTAAACCCCCAAACCCTAAACCCTAAACTGATCATTTCGACAGGGTCGGCGGATCTGCGAGCAGCGGAACGGCGACTGGAGCTGCGCCAGGCGATTCCGGCGATGAGTTCCTCCGGGTTGGGCTGGTTTAGGGTTCAGGGTTTTAGGGGTTTAGGGGTTTAGGGTTTAGGATTTAGGGTCTAGGATTTAGGGTTTAGGGTTTAGGGGTTTAGGGTTTAGGGAGAGGAAGATTCACGAGCTGGTAGAAGGCCATCATTATGATTCAATGAGCATTGCTAAGTTTACAGATTTTCGGGGTTAGATGGGTTTAGGACACGGACTGCAACGGGGATCATATTACTATGTATTGCGAACTCTTCTTAAACCCCCATAAAACCTTGTGACGCCCGGACAAAATCCTCAAGATTCTCTCTGAGCAGAGCAATGGGCTGTAGATACATGGGGGCTTCCGAATTTAGGGGACCCTAACATAATACCCTTAATAGTAGGATCCTTATTATAAGGACCCCCAAATAAGGTACCCCTTGTTTTCGGAAACTCCCATATGTCAGGCTCAGGCAGACTTTCCGATGAGGGGCATTCATGTAGTAGAAGCCACGATGATAATTGTCCGCGCCTGGACCTTCCATCTACCCTCTATTATTATTAGGCCCTAAATTCTTTTTAGTTTTGGGCCATATACCCCTATGAGGCTACAACCTAAACCCTAAATCCTATAACCCTAAACCGGAGGGTCCTGGTATGTTCCTCTGCCCGACCCTGAACCTACAGCGTTTGTTTTGCGGTACATCTGCAGACTCTGGAATGGCTGGTAACTCAAGACGGAGGGTTTAGGGCTTCGGGTTTAGGGAGGCAGTAACATGGGGCTAGTTCTCTAAATTAGGGTCACTTTATAGGTCCCCAACATATTAAGGCACTCATATAAAACAACGACGCAAAAGGGACCCTAATTTAGAGAACTGCCCTTGGGGTGTCAGGTCGTTCCCATCGCGACAAGCTCACAGTTGTAGAGACAGGTCCTAGGCCCTGAACTAGAGTGGCCGCTGAGAATTGAGCCCTTCCCGAAACCTACCTATAGTCTCCATTGTAGCTCCTTTTTGGGGATACCTTATAGAATCCTTAATATATAATTGCTTAAACCAAAAAAGGAACTACAATGCAGACAGACCCGACATCCCCAAATCTGCAGCCTTCAACCCCATAGAAGCCGGCACAAACCCCGTATAGGCCCGAGTAAACCCCAAAGCCTTACAAGACCCTTGCAAAACCGCTTTGCATCACATTCAAGACCTGCTGAACGTGCGCACTTCTGCAAGACAGCAGCTCACGTCGAAAGATGGCAAATGACAACTGTCTCATCAAGCCTTTGACGCGTCTTGTTAATATAGAAGCCTAAGTCATTATACTGTTTTGGGGGTTTACTTATTATAAAGATAGTATAAAGGGGCCCCAAAACCCTGTTCTAATTACTCAGGCCCCCACATTAAGTCCTAAACCCTAAGCCCTAAAACCCTAAACCCTATAATGGGCCCCAAAACCCTGTTCTATTTATTAAGGCCCTTACTTTAGAACCCTATCATAGATCCCTTATGGAACCCTTTAGGGATCCCCTTTAAAGGAGCCCTCTTCTAATGATTAAGGCCCCGGACATTAGGCTTCGTAAGGGTTGCCCTCAAGAACTCCGCCGGGCAGTCAGATCGGGAGCTGCAGGGGTCTTGTTTCTTCTTGTAGGGGTCGTGTGATGTACTTGGAGGGTCGGGGGACTTAGTAAATGGCTATTTTTATAGACTTATAAGTACTATAACCCCAATTAGGGTCCCTTTTAGGGTACTTATAAGTCTACTTGTTATCCACTTACTAAGTCTCCCGACCCTCCAAGTAGGGGCATTACTAATTAGAATAGGGTTTGGGGGCCCCGGGGCCCATTATAGGATGGGGTTCAGGGTTTAGGTTTAGGGTTTTCGGTTTTAGGGTTTAGTGGTCGGGTTTAGGGTTTAGGGGGGGCTTAGTGTTCGGGTTTCAGGTTTTAGAGCTTTAGGGTTTCAGTGTTTAGGGTTTAGGAGTTTAGGGCTTAGGAGTTTAGGGTTTAGGGTGATAGGGTTTAGGGTTTCAGGGAGGGCTTAGTGTTCGGGTTTAGGGTTTAGGGCTTATGGTTTTAGGGTTTAGGAGAAAGGGTTTTAGGGCTTAGGAGTTTAGGGTTTTAGGGCTTCGGGTTTTAGGGTTTAGGGTTTGGGGCTTAGGGTTTAGGGTTTAGCGGGGCTTGGGGTTTTAGGATTTAGGGTTTAGTTAGGGTTTAAAGGGGTCCGAGGGGTGGGGTTGAGGGTTTAGGGTTTAGGTGTTAGGGCTTTTAGGGTAAAGGGTTTTAGGGTCTGGAGGTTTAGACATTAAGGGTTTAGGGTAAAGGGCTTTAGGGTTTAGAGGTTTAAGACATTAGGATGCTTTAGGGTTTGGGGTTTGGGGGTTCAGGGTTTAGGGTGTCTTCCCGCACAGCAGCCGCTATTCCTCGCGAAGATGGCGCGCTTCGTGTCAGGCGACTTTCCTTTTGTGTGCTGCGATAGAGCTCGAGCCGGAAGTTCATGTTCCCGGCAACCACCCAAACCATTTCCATGTCATGGATGTATACGAGTCCCTCGACCACACTGCGCAACAAAAAGCAAAAAAAAAAAACAGCCACGAGGCCGGGAAGGCCCTTCCCAGCCCCAAATCCCTGAGCCTGAGGCAGAGGGCCTTGGATCCCATCAAGGGAGGTTTAGAGTTTAAGGTTTAGGGTTTAAGGTTGAGGGAGGGTTTAGGGTTCAGGTTTAGGTTTTAGGGTTTAAGGTTGGAGGGTTTAGGGTTTAGGTTTAGGGTTTATGGTTGGAGGGTTTAGGGTTTAGCTTCAGGGTTTAAGGTTTAAGGTTGAGGGTTTAGGGTTGGAGAATCAAGGTATTCTTGTGCCTCGGCAGCCCAGATCCGGCTGCATTTCGACCACCCATGGGCTCCATCCGCACTCTCTGGGCACCCAGTTACAGGTGGGAACGGTTTCAGGAGGCCGGGTGGGAATTTAGTGCTTATGGTTAAGGGGAAAGGGTTCAGGGCGTGTAGAGGTTGGGGTTCTTTTCAGGGGATGGCGTTTTCAGAGGTGTTTTGGTGGAGTTTGGGGCTGAGGGTTTGGGCAATTTAGGTTCTTCGGGAGAGAGAGGGTGGGGACTTGAGTTTACAGTCGAAGTCCTCTGGTCCTGAACTCTGCAAAAGGTTTAGGGTTTAGGGTTTAGGGTTTAGGGTTTTAGTGAAGCAGTGCGAGGACTTAGTAAAGCATCTGCGAGAAGGGCTGAGTCGACAAGACTTTTGCGGCATGGGGTAATGCTGCGGGGATGCTGTCTTCGTCCAGAAGTAGCAAGTCGCGCTAGACCCTACACACCAAACCGAAACCGGTACCCACAAACCAACTGTCTGAGATGCTACGTCTAAGACTCTAAACTTTTAATGCCTCAGCCGCCTAAACCCTAAACCGCTGAAGCCCTAAACCGCCAAACCCTAAACCGCCGAAGTTCTAAACCGCCAAAACCCTACACCACCGAAGCCCTAAACCGCCGAAACCCTAAACCCTAAACCGCCGAAGCGCTAAACCGCCGAAGTTCTAGATCCTAAACCGCCGAAGCCCTAAATCGCCTAAACCCTAAACCTTAAGGCCTAAACCGCCTAAACCCCAAACCCTCAATCGCGGAAGACCTAAATCGCCTAAACCCCAAGCGAAGCCCTAAACTAAAGAACCCTTGACAATTCTGCCTCGTTGTCTCTGTGGCAGTCTTCAGATCTTGAATGGCCTCCCCGAAAAAGGGGTCCAGGGTTTAGGCTTTCGGGCTTTAGGGCTTTAGGGGTTCAGGGCTTTTTGGGCATAGTTAAGTTTATGGGTTTGAGTACGTCTTGGGAGTCCTTCACGCAGGGTCTCTATTTCGGATGCAGTTCTGGTCGAGACACAGAGCTTAGGGCTTCGGAGTCGGGGTTTAGGGTTTAGGGTTCAGGGTTCAGGGTTTAGGGTTTAGGGTTTAGGGTTTAGGGTTTATAGGGTTTAGGGTTTAGGGTTTAGGGTTTAGGGTAGCCTTGGGGTGCCTTTTCGAGCTCCGGGTGCTTCAGCGTTTCAGGATGTGGGGTTCCGGGGCCAGGGTCTGGAAGCTCCCGCCAACAAACTGAGGGTTAAGGGTTTAGGGTTTAGGTCTGAGGTTCGGGGGGTTTCTAGACTGCAGTTGTAGAGTCAGGATGTGATAGGCAATGATAGGTGTTGCAAATAAACTACAACATATTCAACTCCCCGAGTACTCCCAGCATTCTAAACGTTGGAGAACTGCCGGACACACCTTCCAAGCCTTAACGCTGAAGCTTGCCCATAGGCCCTATAGTAGTTCCTTTTGGGGGTTACCTTATAGGATTCGATATATGAACCCCAACCGGAACTACTATGGGGCCTATGGGTAACTCTGAAGCTTAATGAGCTCTAACATGCACCCGAATCCTCAAAGCGTTGCACCCAGCTTTGCGCGAACCTTAGAACAGACGTGCATAGTAACACCTTCCGAACATAATAACCCTAAATCCTGAACCCTGAACTCTAAACCCTAAACCCAAAACTGAAACCGCCCTTCCGGAGCTCGGAACCTAATAACCCTGCGACACAGATCCGGGAAAAGTCTACTCGATGTCCAGGGGCAGGGCTCTCCTCATTCCCATCTACCCAAACAGGGTTTAGGCTTGAGCGTTTGGGATTCAAGGGTTCAGAGTTTGGGGTTTAAGGGGTTACAGGTTGAGGGATTACGGCTTGGGGTTCAAAAGGCCTGAAGACGAAACGCGCTATTTAGCCGGCTGAACCGAAGCCGGCAAGGGTTGAGGCTTTAGGATTTAGGGCTCATCGCAGTCTCCGGTGCAACACGGCCTTCTCAGCGGCTTCCCTTAGCTTTGACAAGATCCGCAAAGCTGCATTATCCCAAATCCCTAAACCCTATAGCTCTTTGCTCTGGGGCTTCGCAAGCTCATGATCTAAGCCGCCCTTGGCCGCAAACATATGGGTAGCTCTCTAAAGTAGGGTCCCTTTTAGGTCCCCAGTATAGTACGGCACCCTTCTAATAAGGACCCTAAAAGGGACCATAATTTAGAAAACTACACATTTACCTAAACCCTAAACGCTAAACCCTAAACCCTAAACCCTAAACCCTAAACCCTAAACCCTATACAAGGGTTGATGTTCCTGGGTTCAGGATTTGGCACTTCGGGTTGGCCTTGAAGGTTTAGGGTTTAGGGTTTAGGGTTTAGGGTTTAGGGTTTAGGGTTTAGGGTGGGAGGTTTTGGGTTCTGAAGCTACGACTCAAAGGGTGTAGAAATGAAGGTACCTTTCGTAGAATACGGAGGATTCGGTCGAGATGTAAAGCCGTGTATCTACCCCGTAGCCCGAAGGCCTAATCTCTCAGGACCGAAGTGTTCGGCGGTCGGTTCCGGATTCTAGAGACCATTTGACAACAGGCTGTGGGGCTTGTCTAAACCATCGGGCTAGATTGAAACTCCCAAAAAAACACCAACGACCTAAGCCCCCAAACATACGATAGGTGCCTTAATAATTAGAGTAGGGTTTTGGGGCCCAATATACTCTGATTACAATAGATGTACTGCTTTAAGTTTAGAAGTGTAGCCGCACTTGACTTCTACAGTACAACAAACCGTAATCTATGCCTGCACTATGTACAGCGTACTACTTATTGTGGGTTGCTGTTAATCTTGTTCTACACTTAGATGAACCCCGTATGTCGAGGGCCGGGGCCGAGATGATAAGACGCAGGTGTCGAGATAAGGCGAGCCATTATACATGGAGCACAAGATCTTAGTCTTGCCCGATGGAGTGACCAAACAACGACTGTCGCCGGGATGCTTTGCTGCCTTTGTCTCCTCTTCCGCTTTTTTCTGGATCGCAAGCCTGTGAAATTCGGGGACCCGAAACAGGAGTTGTGAAGAACTGTAGTATAAGGGCGTTAATCGTTTCAATGGGATTTTGGTGTAAAATACATTACCGGATAGTTTAAGCAGACAGGGACTACAGGGGAATAGTTTGGCCAACTCTTTCGGGAGTCTTCCTGACTTTAAACTACAGTAGCTTCATCAGCATCCTTCTATCTGCTCGCCTCCTCTGAGTCTCCCAAAAAGGAAAGCCCTAATATAGAGGGGCCTCAATCATTGGAAAAGGGTTGTGGGTGTTGTGGTATGTTATACTATACTTACAATCAGGAACCCCCCCTAAATATCAAAAAAAGGATAAGCAATCAGGAACTCCCAAAAATATCCCAAAAAAGATAAGCAATGCTCAAGGCCGTGTGTTATAGACCGGGGAAGCCTCTACTAGACCCCAAACACTCAGCGTCCCCAAACGACCCTAAACACTATATACAATACCCCATACCCGAAGCCCTACGTTTTCTGTCTTCGGAAGCCACCACAGCCTTTGGGCCTCTGAGACAGTTGGACTCGGATTCCTTAGCATTGTACAGTATGGGCACCCTGGTGTTTACAAAACCCCGCTTGTTATCCCGTTCTATGCCTTCCGTGCTTGGGCTTTTGAGGGTTTGGGTCAGCGCGGTTTGGGGTTCTAGAAATCATCAGGTTCGCATTCTAGGTTTTACATGACCTTATAAGCTTTATGCTTCAAATAGGATCTTTTTAACGGCTTCGGGGTTTGTCAAGGCTGTAGGGTTTGGGGAAAGGATTGCAGTTTCGTACCGTTACGCATCTGGGAGAAGATGTTTGTTCCCAGGCCCGGAGTAAATTCCAGTGGTTCCGGTATTCTGCATTCTAACCCTGGAGCCCTAATCCCCCACTGCGCACGTGTAACTTGTGCAACAGACTTGCCACCCCGTCTGTTTCCAAGCAGCATCTCTGCTTCGGCTTTATCCGCTTTGGCCTTCCTGGGCTTGTGATGATGAGCACGCGAAGCCTAAAAGGTAGAGTACATCAGGCAGGAGGTTACCGGATCTTTCATGGCATGCTTCGGCTGTTTTGCATCTTGAAAACTCCAAATAAAGAAAAACGTGCAACAGTTCGAGCCGGAAACGCAAAACCCTAGCTTCGTTGTACCTACAACAGTGGGGGAGGAACCAGCAGACTGGGGAGGGTTGAAATTGCGAAATGGCTTCGTTCAGAGGAATGGGGGGTGAGGGAGGGAGCACAAAGGAAAGAGAGAGCAAAGAGAGAGGAAAGAGAGGAGAGAGTGGAAAGCGAAAAAGGACAGGGAAAACGGACGACCACGAACATACGTTCTGTGATGCGTAGCACGCTTGGCCTGCGTTATGTTCCGGTTGTGCGTTTCATGCGTCTGCATTCAGATTCGTGGATCTTACCAGGTTGTACAGTGAGCTCCGAACCTCCTCAGCGTGACCAACTGTTGTGTTCGCTCTTATATCCTCGGGCGAAGAGAGACCCGTGTCGAGACTGTTCCACTTTACAAGACTCCTTCAACTTCTGCATATTAACACAGTCCACTGCTGATCGCTAGGATCCTTCCTACGAGCCTACCCATCATGCCAACAAGCGGCTCCGTTGCACAAAGCTATATATGTGCATTGGCTGCAAAGCTACAGAAACAGACTGCGAACGCAAGTTTGTGAAATTGCATGCGGCGGCGAGTTGCCCAGACTTGCCACCGCTGTGTTTTGAAACCATCATGGGGACGGAATGGTTCGGGTATCGTGAACTCCAACTCCAATGAAACGGGAGTACAGCGAAAACAAGGCTAGCGATGCGACACATTCGTTTGCCTTGGAATGTTGCAACCCGAAGCTCTTTGGCCCGAGCCCCAGCTGAAGGTACATACGTATGTATATATATATATATATGTACGTGTATATATATATATATACACATATATATACACATACATATATGCACCCTTTTCTTGCAATTACAATCATACACAGATGTGGATGCTTAGTTACACTTCAGTTACCACGGGATCTTGTCGTCAACGACAAAACACAGGTCATGTCGTCCGTCGGCCTTTGGGATGTTTTGTTCCAGCAATTGGCGAGGCAACAGCAATGCGATGAAACTACCGCGAATGCCCGAAGCATTGATTTGCTTCATGCCGATTCCAGGCGTGAGTTCTCAGACACAAGGCACCGAGCAATGCAACAACGGCGAAAAGCTATCTATCGAAGGCTTGTTGTGAGTACTAGGCGCTGCAGGTCACTGCAAGTGGCCATAAATTTGCTGCGTTGTTCCTCAAGCTCAGCAAAAACCCTCATGCAGTTGTGTGACGAGAAACTTCGAAGGAAGGCTCCTGTCATTCCAAGCCCTGGCTCCTAAGCTGATGAGAGACAGGCCACCGAGACACTCCCAGACCGACTTTTTTCCAACAATCTGAGGACGAACAGAGCGTTCAGCTTTGAGGTGTTGGGGCTTGGTGAGTCTTGGGACCTGAAAGGCCAGAATGCATGCCGTACAATACCCCAAAAAGGAAACACCGTGCAGATCATCAGAGACTTTGTCTTCTACACTAACATCCCAAACACCCAGCCCAAACGGTCACGACAAGACGACGCTGTTATGGAGCCCCGATAGAAAATCACGAAGACGCATTCGAGAAACCCTGCCCCAAAAAACCACAAAGACACATAAAAGGAACCCTATTCCAACCCTTAGGCCCCATATCGAGCGACATGCACCGGGGGACCTTGGCCCCGACATCGAACATCCTCTGAAACGGGGTTTCCGGGTATCGCTTAGGTTGTATCTCTTCGTGAGTCACGTACCCTAAACCCTAAGCCCTAAACCATAAAACCCTGAACCCTAAACCCTAAACCCTAAAAACCTGAACCCTAAATCCCAAGCCCTGAACCTTAAAACCGTCAACCCTAGAACCCAAAACCCTGAAACCCCGACGAAGCCCTAAACCCTAAAGTCAAGAGCGGGGTCGGTGACGTCGAGCGACAGACCCCGAGCGTTTGGCCGAGGGCCTCACAAGCCCGAGAGCCCATACGAAAAGAGAGACGGAAAGGCGAGACCCTAAACCCTAAACCCTAAACGAGGGTTAAGCCTCGCCGCCTGTCCTGGACAGGCCAAAGAATCTGGCCTTGTTTACGACAACGTCCGAACTCAATTAAGGGATGGCCGTATCCAGACCACCCTTTGCGTGGCTAAAGATTGACCCCAAATCGTGGACCATTGCCTCTGGAGGCGCGCTTAGGATTTCAGGATGTAGAGTTTTTAGGGTTTAAGAATTTAGGCTTCGCGGTTTAGGATTTTAGGATTTAGGGTTCAATTGCCCTTTATAGTAGGACTTCAAGCTTAGGATTCAGATTTAGCTTTAAAATTAAAATTTTAGGGCTTTGGATATAGGACTTTAGGATTTAAGATAGATTTGTGGATGGCTTGTTGGATTTATGCTTTAAGGTTTCGGAGTTGGGAATGGGAAAATCAAAGGTTGATTTCGGTTTATCATGCCCTGCTTTAAACCCTAAACCCTAAACCCTAAACCCTAAACTTAGTTGGGCCGAGTGCTCATGGCCAGGAGTCCTCTTTCTTGTCGTGTGCGTGCTCTGAACCCTCTTAGGATACTAGCATTTAGGATTTAAGGTTCAGGATTTAGGATTTAGGGTTCAGGATTCAGAATTTCAGGATTTAGGATTACAGCATATAGGATTTTAGGATTTTAACATTTAGGGTTTAGGATTTAAGGTTCAGCCCTAAACCCGAAAACCCTGAACCCCAAATACATGGCAACCACAAGTGCCCTCAAACAGTCACCCATGGCAGCTGCTAAGCCAAGGTATCTCCCCGAGTTTTTAGGGTTTTTCGGATTTAAGGTTCAGGGTTTAGGGTTTTGGGTTTGGGCACAAACCGAGTTTAGACACTGGTTAGTTGTAGGAGCGTCATCAACCACGACCCGCTGTGGGCGTTCCGACCTACTGGTACGGCCTTGGCCCTTAAACCCAAGCTCTCGCCCCCTGAACACCTAAACCCCAAATGTGAGCGCTGAAGCCTAGATTCTACAAAACCCTAAACCCTAAACCCCAACAGAACCTTAATTGTCAACCCTAAAGCCCTAAACTGCCGAGTGCTGCCGGAGCTCGCCACTTTCGTTTCCTCCCTGGCCTGTATGGCATCCTTCGACATCAGTTTCGGGATTAGGGGGGAAGTCGCGATTTTGGGGTTGAGGGCTTCTGCCTAGGATTTATGGCTGAGGGCCTTATCGGGCCTCTTCTAGAAGGTTCCGTGTTACTGCCGCAAGTCCAAGTCCCTTTTTTGGGGGTTCAGGGTTCCGGGTGCTTGCCCTGATTTCGGAGCCCCTCAGAACGTTGGCTTCTCTGCACTCTGTGAGGCGTCTATGGGAATAGCAAGACTTAGTGTCTTGTTCCGAAACTGATGCAAAGTTATGGCTCAGAGTGACAAGCTTAAGAGCCGAGGTCAAGTAGTTTCTTGTCAGATGCAGTTGGGACTTTTTGGTGCAGGTTTCGAGTGCAGGCAGCAGCTTAGTCTCAAATACTTTGAAGCAGGCGTGCATCACGATTCCGACAACCATAAACCCTAAACCCTAAACCCTAAACCTTAACCCCTAAACCTTAACCCCTAAACCCTAAACCCTAAACCCTAAACCCTAAACCCTAAACCCTATAACCCTCAAATCGCCGTGGTTTGATCTCGAAGCAAAGCAAGGGACTCTAGGGCTAAGCCACAGGAAGGGGAGAGGGACGTTTCACTTTTCTGGGTTTTAGAGTGTAGGGGGCTAAAGTAGGATCGATAAAGTACTCCCTATGAAAACCCTAAACCCTAAACCCTAAACTCTAAACCCTAAACCCTAAACCCAAAACCACAATGTTCCTCCGTCGGCACCAATAGGTTACAAAGCCAAGCTCGATCCTTCTGCTGCCCCAACCAGCAGCTATTCGTGTGGATGCAAAACCTCACGGAACCCCAAACAGCGAAACCCGAAATCCTTAATCTTCGCCTTCACAAGCGTTTGTGGTTGGCGTTTTTCCCTGGGATGTCAAGCTCTGGGCCCCATAAGAACCCTAAACCCTAAACCCTAAACCTTAACCCCTAAACCCTAAACCCTAAACCCTAAACCCTAAACCCTAAACACCCAAACTCTGAACTCCCAGGCCCTGATGCCCCAAACCCCGAGCAGACTGAACCCATAAACCCATAAACTCTTCAATTCCTAAGCTCCCAAAGCCTATAAACCCCAAACCCCAAATCCTAAAGCCCTAAACCCTAAAACCCTAAACCCTAAACCCCAAACCCCAAACACTAAAACCCTGAACCCTAAACCCCAAACCCTAAAACCCTAAATTCAAAAGCCTGAAGCCTGAACCCTAAACCCTGCACACCAAATCCTGGACCCCACACTTCTCCTCTAAATCCTAAACCCTAAATCGGGTTTAGGGTTTAGGGTTTAGGAGTTTAGGGCTAAGGGTTTGGGGTTCAGGGTTTAGGGTCCCAAAACCCCAAACCCTCAAAGCCTAAACTCCCAAACTCTAAACCCTCAAGCTCCTCTTTGGCAGCATGGGCTTCGGTTTGGGGTTCAGGGTTTAGGGTTTAAGGTTTAGGGTCCCGAAACCCTACCCTAAACCCTAAACCCTAGACCCTAAACCCTAAACCCTAAACCCTAAACCCTAAACCCTAAACCCTAAACCCTAAACCCTACTCTAAACCCTCGGGCTCCTCTTTGGCAGCATGGGCTTCCTTCTGTGCCTTCTTGAGTTGCTCCTCAGAGGTAGGATGCCGTTCTCGAACGTAGGGGCTCCGGGTTGAGGGTTAGGATTTAGGGCTTTAGGGTTTTAGGGTTTAGGGTTTAGGGTTTAGGGTTTAGGGTTGAGGATTAGGATTTAGGGTTTGGGGTTTGGGGCTTCGGGTTGAGGGTCTAATGATTATGGGTCTATTGCGTTTGAGGTTGTGGGTTTAGGGTTTGGGGCTTGGGGTTTAATGATTATGGGTCTATTGCGTTTAAGGTTTTGGGTTTAGGAATGAGGGTCTAGGATTTCGGGTTTCGGTGATTTAATACAGCAGAGGCCTGTATAACTAGAATAGGGCTTCGGGGCCCATTATACTACCTTTTGGGGTTCATAAATAGAATCCTATCAGGTAATCCCAAAAAGGAACTACTTTGGGGCCTATCGGTATGCCTTTGGTACGAGAAGCCCTGCCTGGGGTTGTGGAGAGCTCGGGCTCTGGAGCTTGCTGCGTGTCGTGACAAGCCGTATTTTCGTGGGAAGCAAGGTGCTTCCAGAGGTCTATCGAAGTTGTTTCGGGTTTAGGGTTTATAGGGTTTAAGGTTAAGGGTTTAGGGTTTTGGGTCTAGGGTTTTGGGGTTTAGGATTAAGGGTTTCGGGTTTAGGGTGCCGCTGATGCACCTTGTCCGAGTTGTGTGAAGCTTCTCAGGTACTTATGACATGTTGACGGTGCAGCGGGGGCGGCTTCTCAAAGCTCAAGGTTGCCAAACACCACTTCGGGTTGCAGAAAGACTTGCAATGCTTCATGCTGGCTCTTTGACAGTTCTGGAAGATTTTGCCATGCATCCACAAAATCGTCAACCTAGTCGCTGGAAGGTCTTGCGTTGATGTTGTAATGCTTCGGCACTTCGGGGCTCGGATACGAGGTTGTTTACATCCGAAGAACAAGCTTCGAGGACTTGAGTGCTACAGATTGCATGCTGTTGGGTGGGTCAAAAGCTAACATAGGGGCCGTAAGAATTAGAATAGGGTTTTGGGGTACATTAATACCATAAATAAGGACCACCAAAACTATTAAGGCCCCGACCCGACCTATTTCGGGTCCCTCAAGCCTATACTATACTGATTCACAAAACTCTACGACCCAAAACACCCGTAATTCGGATCTATAAAGCCAAATCGGGAACATCGCACCCTAAAAATTCTACGACCCGCAAACCCTAAAAGCCCTAAACCCTCTTAGGGTCCTTCAAGCTGTTGAGGATCCTTCCTCCTTTCCGACCCTCCGCCCGACAAGCCGGGAAAAGTCTGAAAACGCCTCAACTGTCCCAGAAGCCCCCCGACCCCTCCGCTCTAAACCACCCTGAACCCTAAACCCTAAACCCTAAACCCCAAACCCTAAACCCTAAACACCTAAACCCTAAACCCTGAAAGCCAAAGAGACGCTAAGAGAGTTCCCAAAGAAGGACCTGCCTCAAGCAGGTCCCTCTCAACCTTCATGGCTTTGAGCTGGAGCTCAAGCTTCTCCTGAGGAGGACTTTAGGGCTCCATAAGGTTTAGGGTTTAGGGTTTAGGTACTGGTTTAAGGTTTAGGGTTTAGGGTTTAGAGTTTAGGGTTTAGGGGTTCTTTGTATAAGGTTTCGAGTTTAGGGTTTAGGGGTTTAGGGTTTATAGGGTTTAGGGGCTTAGGGCTTAGTTACATGGTTTAGGCTCTCTGGTTTCAGATTTGGGGGTTCAAGGCTTCGGGGTTTAGGGTTTAGGGTCCAGGGTTTGCGGGTGAATCGATTCTACACTGGGGTTCAAGGAAACAGGTGAGAGCCCAAAACCCGAAACCCTAAAACCTACCAGGGTCTGAGGTTTAGGTGGCAATACGTAGGTTCAAGGACTTGTTAGGGACGATGCTGTCGAGGCCTGGGTATGGGTTATTAGGGTTTCGGGTTTAGCGTTTGGGGCTTAGAGTTTGAGGCCTTTTGTTCAGGGCTCAAAGCTTCAGAAGACCCCACGCTCCCAAAAACCTCGAAAAGCCGTAAACCCTAAATGAATTATGATTTAGAGGGACCCCCCTAAGGGGGTATGGCAAATGGAGTTTGCTAGCAGAAGCTGATGGTCGGAAAGCAAGGCCTGCCAAGCATTAGCAACGGCTGGCAGGCCTTAGTAGAGCCTAGCAAGCCTTTGTAGTA